AGCCAAAGTTTTCATTTTGGCACAATTAAACATGAGGTTCACCTAGGATGAGCATCTCCATCAATGCGAGGAGGGGACAGATAGAACAAGGAACTGACAGAATAAAACACATATAAGAAAACAGAACATAATATAACCTGACCATTGTTTTAGAGCAGCTCTAACTTGTGTCTATACCTGCTGGGCTCATACAAACAAATGCAAACTTCAAAGCCCACAAGTCTCACATTCTTTATAGTCCTGTGTCCCAGTTATGAACTGTGGCTGATCTTTGCTTGGAAAGGCCTTTTTTGTCAGGAAAATGCTGACCAGTTTCCAGTTCACCTCCTCTAGTACTTTGTGCTGGCAGAGCTGAGTGATAGCCACACCCATTCTGTGCATGAAGGCAAAAAAAACCTTAAGTGTGCAGATCCCCCCTAAGCCCCCCTAATACTTACCTAATCCTGATTGCGATCCAGCGATGTGTACGGGAGCACTGAGAAGCAGCAGTGGGAGCTATTGGTTCCTGCTGTTGTCAATCACAGCCAGTGAGCAGGGAGAGGGGACAGGAATAGGCTACGTTCTGTGTGTCCCATAAACATACAGAGGTGGCTCGGGAGCAAGCACACATGAGTGCTCCCAGAGCAAGCAGCTTTCTCTGGAGGGACTCAGCAAGGTAGAAGGGCCAGAAGCACTGGCTGGGGACCCAAGAAAAAGAAGATCTGGACTGCTCTGTGCAAAACTGTTGCACAGAGCAGGTAAGTACGATGTGTTTATTATTTCAAGAAAAAAAAATTAGCCTTTTGAGCCACTTTAAGCCAACCATAGATGGTCCAAATCTCAGCCGGTTCAGCAAGGACCAATTGAGATTCAAACCATCTATGGGTTTGGGCAGACGATCCATCAATCGACTTGGGTACAACCAGCGTGTCAGATAAACATGTGCGGTTCGGCTGGCCGCCACATCCTTACCAATCATGACTCATCTGCTGTCAGCACTGACAGCAGGATGTAAACAAACGAGCTGGCTTTAAAACAAAAAATAAAAAAAAACGTGTTTCCCTCCCCCCAATCCTTTGGGTCTGGTATCGATTTCGAGGGGAACCAATCACAGACCCTTATCCAAGCATGCATACCTACATGATACCCCTAAGCATTCACCAAAAAAACTATCAAAAATATATAAAAACACAAAAACAGTTTTTGGCAAGTCCTTTATTATAAAAAAAAACAATGTCCCCTGAAGTGAATCCAGCAGTAATCACGATAAACGATGGCTGCTGACCCGAAAAACAAAGAAAACCAAAAAAATAGGTCTGCACGCGACGCTTGCCTCACGGCTACTGAGAGTTCAAGTTCCCACTGACGGTAAATAAACATAGGAGCAGGGTCACCAGTGACAGGGAACTGGAGCTGTCAGTCAGCAGGTGCCTCATTCCTCTGAGACTTCTAGATTTCCTCTTTGCCTAGTTGTCTCGGCTCCCTCAGTCTCCCAGACTTGCATAGCCGTCTCGACTCTCTCAACAGCATGGAGTGCTGTCTCTTGAGTGGAGTACACCTATCTCTTAAAAAGAGCTCTGAATTATGCCGACGTCCTTTATTATAAGGGCTGTGTGTACCTACATTCACAGCCTGCCGCTCTCCTGCAAGACCTAGACACTGGGTTGGGAATTCCTTCTCCCCAAAACTCCTCAAAATCTCCAAACTCTGGAACCCAATCCCAAAATAATAAAACCCACAGAAAGTTGACAAACCTCCTTTCCCTGCTCAAATCAATACCCCAGAGCCCTGCACTCTGCACATGTGTGAATCCTGTGTCATATCTACATATACTATTTTGCCAAAAGTAGTGGGATGCCTGCCTTTACACGCACATGAACTTCAATGGCATCCCAGTCCATAAGATTCAATACTGAGTTGGCCCGCCCTTTGCAGTTATAACAGCTTCAACTCTTCTGGGAAGGATGTCCACAAGGTTTAGGAGGGTGTCTATGGGAATGTTTGACCATTCTTCCAGAAGTGCATTTGTGAGGTCAGGCACTGATGTCGGATGAGAAGGCCTGGCTTGCAGTCTCCACTCTAATTCATCCCAAAGGTGTTCTATCGGGTTAAGGTCAGGACTCTGTGCAGGCCAGTCAAGTTCCTCCACCCCAAACTCGCTCATCCATGTCTTTATGGACCTTGCTTTGTAGAGTGGTGCGCAGTCATGTTGGAACAGGAAGGGGCCATCCCCAGACTATTCCCACAGAGTTGGCAGCATGAAATTGTCCAAAATGTCTTGGTATGCTAAGGCCTTAAGAGTTCCCTTCATTGGAACTAAGGGGCCAAGCCCAACCCTTGAAATACAACGCCACACCATAATCCCCCCTCCACCAAACTCTACACATGGCACAATGCAGTCAGGCAAGTACTGTTCTCCTGGCAACAGCCAAACCCAGACACATCCATCGGACTGCCAGACAGAGACGCGTGATTCGTCACTCCAGAGAACAGGTCTCCACTGATCTACAGTCCAGTGGCGACGTGCTTTACACCACGGCATCCGACGCTTTGCATTGCACTTGGTGATGTAAGGCTTGAATGCAGCTGCTCAGCCATGGAAACCCATTCCATGAAGCTCTCTATGCACTGTTGTTGTTCTAATCTGAAGGCCACACAAAGTTTAAAGGTCTTTATCAATTGACTCTGCAGACAGTTGGCGACTTCTGCGCACTGTGTGCTTCAACATGCGCTGACCCCGCTCTGTCATTTTACGTGGCCTACCACTTCATGGCTGAGTTGTTGTTGTTCCCAGTTTCTTCCACCTTGTTATAACACCACTAACAGTTGACCATGGAATATTTAGTAGCCAGGAAATTTCACAGATGGACTTATTGCACAGGTGGCAACCACGCTTGAATTCACTGAGCTCCTGAGAGCGATCCATTCTTTCACAAATGTGTGTAGAAGCAGTCTGCATGCCTAGGTGCTTGATTTTATACACCTCTGGCCATGGAGGTGATTGGAACACCTGAATCCAATGATTTGGAGGGGTGTCCCAATACTTTTGGCAATATAGAATATCTATTTCACAATATACTTTCATTGTTGAGTGTGGACAGATTTACAGGTTTTAGGGTTTCCAGCTCAGAAATAATTGTAAGTAAAACCTGGAGTTTTCCTTTAATTGTCACTTTTTGTCACTCACCTCTTTTGGATCTCACATTTTTATACATAGCAACGTCCTGGGATATATAAAGGTGGATTGCTTTCAAAACAGATGCTGTCATTTTTGTTGGAATGGACGGCGATATTTCACACTCGCAATGATGGGTCAACTTTCCATCCGCTCAGGTGAAAACATGTTCAGCTTACATATACAATTTGTAGACGGTATGTATTGGGGGGAAGCGTGAGATCGCTGCTGGCCGTCCGTTCCTTGTACACTGAGCTCATATGACTGACAGATTTACCTATTGTTCCTCGAATCATTCTCCCATTACATGGAAATTCTGTTCAGTTATCAGAGAATTCCGCCCAGTGCCCATCCTATGTAAGCTGACCACAAAACAAAACCACAGAGAATTCGAATCACTTTCTGTGAACATAAGAATCCAAAAACTTTACCCTTTGTGGATTTCTCTGCCGGAGCTCTGCTGACAGTCATTATGGGGACATGGACACAGAGGGGTAGATTTACTAAAACTGGACAGTGCAAAATCTGGTGCAGCTCTGCAAAGAAACCAATCAGCTTCCATTTTTGTTTTTTAGTCAAAGCTTAATTAAACAAGCTGAAGTTAGAAGCTGATTGGCTACCATGCACAGCTTCGCCAGATGTCGCACTCTCCTGTTTTAGTAAATCAACCCCATGGTTTGTGAGGGTGTCTTGCAAAGCTTTTGCCTATTGCCTCCTCTCTCGTTGTTACGGTGTAACCTCAATGTATTAAGTCATTGTAACAGTTTCTCTTTCTAATCCAAAATGTTGCATTTCTATCTGATGTGGTTTCTGTTTTTAGGGTTAACATGAATTTCAGCCTCCCCTTCAGTCTTGCACAGTTGTATAGACTCTTTTTTGGACTGAAATTGCTTATGCTGATGTCACTGCACACTGTGAGCTTCTCACAATGTGCATTAGAAGTTGCATTGGATTTCAGTTCTTTCAACTGTGGATGTTACCTATGGGTTCTGCATGCAAATACAATATGCCAAGGAACACTCACTCCTCTTCTGACATCCATCCATCAAAGCATTTTAATATCATGGCTAGGGCTCTTCAGAGCAGTACTAAAGCAGGGTGCTGGTGTGTTTTCATGAAGCTATGTGCAGCGCTCTGCCAACCCCTCCCACCAGCCACGATCTGCCTGCATTGCAAAAAGCACAGAGACCCAGTGATTACACCACTAGGACTGCAATAAGGTATAAAATAAAAATGTATTTTCTTTTTTTTCATTAGTATGTGAGTAGGAAAGGAGGAACCTGAAAATGCAAAATATAGGCAGGCTAAACTTCAGCTTAAACAGTAAATTGCCCATAGACGTGCTAGGGCAGACAGTTTTGCGGACATGATCCATCAGAACAGAAGCACATCAGTTAGGATGCAGTGCCCTAAATATGTATACTTAGCTCCGCCAGGCATACATGTCGAGCAAGCAGGAAAGAGAACTACAAAAAGCAGGAAGAGCAACTCCAAAATCCTCATGAAAGCTTTATTAGTGATACAGGAGTGACATAAAAGCACATTGACGCGTTTCGGCAAGTAGCCTTGAGCAAGCCGACTCTTCCTGTTTAAGTATCCTTTTTGTATTTTACCGATCACGTGACAAAACGCTTGATCAAGATGATTAGGTTACTGATCACGTGACGGAACGCATCAGGGGAGGGGGCCACTAGATGTCATTACGCCAGGAATGTACGAGTTTGGCCATTTTAGACACTACTCCAAAAATATGCATCCTTAAGGGGACAATATACTATTAGCATGGAAATGTAAACAAGCGATCAATCCAGTGCACTGGACGTTACAAGTCCACCATACTTGTGAGCAGGGGCGGACTGACAACTCATGGGGCCCCCGGGCAATAGGGGATCATGGGGCCTCTGTGTCCTTGCCCAAACTCAAAAATGCCTATGAAAAAGGTACCAGGGGCATCTCATGGGGCCCCCTACTGACCCCGGGCCCTCGGGCAGTGCCCGAGTTTCCAAATGATCAGTCCGCCCCTGCTTGTGAGTGTTTTTAATCTTCTTTAAATAAGCAATATCAAGTTATTCTGATACTGCACCATGAGATCTTTTTGGTTTTATTTTTCACATTGATTTGGCTGGAGTCTTGCAGTCTTAAAGTGATACTTACCTATTACAAGTGAATTAGAGGAATATTCTGCTAACTCTGACCTACAAAGCCATTCACAACACCGCCCCAAACTACATAACTGACCTGATACCCAAATACTACCCTACCCGTGCCCTCCGCTCTTCACAGGACCTCCTACTCTCTAGCTCCCTGGTCTCCTCCTCCCACGCCCGATTGCAGGACTTCTCTAGGACTTCCCCCATCCTCTGGAACTCCCTACCCCAATCCATCAGACTGTCACCTACCCTCCTCACCTTCAGGTGCACCCTGAAAACCCTCCTCTTCAGGGAAGCCTACCCCAACCTCACCTAACACCTGACCTCACCTAACAACTAACCTCCTCCACTCCTCCCACCACTCCATCCCCCATAGCCATTTCTTCCTGTACCACCTTCCCCTCCCTCCTACATTGTAAGCTCGAAAGAGCAGGGCCCTCAAACCCCTCGTCTATTGTATTGTTACTGTCTTGTCTCATGTTCTGTCCCCCTTGCTACTGTACAGCGCTTTATAAATACTGCATAATAATAATAATAATATTGCCAGTTATTACACTCAGAGTGTTAGGAATATGTGTTTGACCTTACCTTTGTACGGGTCAAACCTTGAGGTAAGCGGCAGCATTGGAAGGTGATGGTGTACTGTCGAGGAGTACATCAGCAACTTTATATTGAGCACGCATGACATATGTATGTCACAAAACACAATATTTTAAAGATAGAAATTTCTCACTGAATTTTGGGACTTTTTATGAGTTTTGCATTTTACATTTGTTTATATTAGTTTAATGTGTATGCGTTTACATGCTTTTTTTTTATAGTATTTATGAATTATTAATGAAAATATATTTTTTTGCACATTTATATTGGTTGATACACATTTTAGTTGCACTACACTTTTTCCATATTGATTTCTATTGGTGTTTGAACGCAACACAGTGAGGAGCTGCAACATAATATATATGGTTTTTTACATATATTTGGGTTAGTGCAGAGGTTTCCATTTGTATGTTTTTTTTAATAAATATTCTATGTTACTTGAAAAAGTTTATCTCCCTGATTTTTTTTTTACTTGCATAAAAAGGAGTGCTTGTTTAATTAGCTGCATTCAATTTGTGTGCGTCTAAAAGTCTGCAGAAATGACAGCCTTAAATGCACACTGCCTGTGTTCATGGTCCATTGGAGGCTCTACTCACATGTAACCAGTCAGGTAACTGGTTACATGTGAACAGCAGTGGCTGATGCTGTAGAGATGGAGATTGAGGGCTGTGTCCTCAATCTCCTCTCTCTGTCTCAGAGTGGAACAACTGAGGTCTGTTTAAACCCCTGATATCTCACCAAAGTCCCTAACAGGGCTCCTTAAAAGAATTGTACAAAATAGTAAAAAAGAAAATTGTAAAAAAAAAAAAAAACTAAAAAAAAAAAAAAATTACTGACACCAGTTGCGAAACTACCAGGGTTGGAAAGGCCACACTTGCGATCGGGTCCTGGCATTCTGCCACTGTGGGGGGCCCTGAGACAGCAGCAAGGGGGCCTGCTGCAAAACATGTGAAAGGGTCCTGCTGCAGAACTGTAATAAAGGGTTCCACAATGGGAATAAATGGATCTGGGATCAGTGGAAAGGGCTCAGCTATGGGGCCTTTCATGGTTTCTTCCACCGGGGCCCTGAAGGTTCTAGGAATGCTTCTGACCCTCTCTTTTTGTCCTATTTACCATTGTAATTGATAGTGAAAATAAAAGAAAGTCACATATTTTGAGCTGACATCAGAACAGTAAAAGAGGGGATATCTTCCAACAGGGACAATAGTTTATTTATTATAGGTACTTATACAGCACCATCAATTTACACATACTGTACATTCACATCCATCTACGCTCTCAAGGAGCTAAGAATCTAAGGTCCATAACTCCCATTCATACATACACATACTAGGCCCAATTTAGACCGGAGCCAATTAACTTACCTTAGCATGTCTTTGGAGTATGAGAGGAAACCAGAGTACCTGGGGGAAAACCACACAAGCACAGGGGGAACATGCAAACCCCAGGCAGGTACTGCCGTGGTTGGGAATGGAACCAATGACCCTAGTACTGCTAGGAAAAAGTACTAAGCACTAAGCCACCAGTTCCGGTTACACACCGGGGCTCCTTCACTTTGAAGGGATTTCTCTTCACTTCCTGTTTTGGCAATGGAACAAGGAGTAAAATCTCCCCAATGGGACACAGATAGGGAAAAAAAACCCAAAAAAACTAATGGGGGTTATAACCCACCCTTACTCTTACCAAAAAGAAAAAAATGTTTTGCCTTTAGTTACACTTTAACAATTTTTTTTTGTTTAAAATGATTAAAGGCAGTTTTTCATTATAAACGATTCCTCCCTTTTATTACTCTACCTATTTGCCTTTGCACTCTTTTCAAATCTTATACTTTCCTTCACAGAATTGCTTCCTACAAGTGATTTACAAAGGGGTAAAACTATTATTGCATCTTGTTTTTTATCTCTTTTTTCTACATCTAATTTTTTTGCTTTACAGCTACCTCTTGGCATTGAGCGTTCCTATTTTACTTAGTGGGATCCCATATTTCTAAATCCTTTTTCAGGTCTGTTTCCCAAGCTTTTTTCCATTTTATTTATAATCCTCCATTGGGCCTGCTGTGTGCAGACGTGAGGTCACATGGCAGACGTAGACGGGTTGAGTGTGATTGGAGCGGACAACCTGGACAAGTCTTAGTATAAACACTTCCTGAGCTGGATTCCATCACATGACCCCTGTGCTCTACATACATGTCCGTTCCGTCTCCTTATACAGAGAGCAGTTTATCAGATACATTATTTATGTTTTATTGTAACAGAGTTATAGAAAGTATCCAGGGGCCCTCAGAAGCCCCTAAACCCAACACAATAAAGGGATATCACCCAAAAACCTTTTCCCCCAAAATTCCCTTGATTCTACGTGGGCGCTGTGTAAGACTTCCGCGGCGTGTAATTACCGCATGGAAATGACCACATATTATTTATTTTACTGACTGCTGTGACGTACAGCAGAAATGTTATTGTCACCATGCCAAGACCCTAATTATATGAAATCTCATCAAAATGATTAAACTCCCTTCAGTTACCAGATTAACACTTTCACTGCCCCTCCTTAGATGATGGAAGAAGACGGCTTCTATAAAAGGGTTGGGTGGTCAGTCTGGCATGGAGGGTCCTTCTCTCCTTTAAATTAGAGCCCAGATCTTCCTCTGTATTGGGCTTTTTTTTTTCGTTCACTCTGAGTGGGACTTTTTATTGGATTTAATTAAATAAATAGTTCGAAATTATATGGAAAATGTGCTTTTCTCATTGTATTTGGTGTGATTGTATAGTCATTATCTAAGCCATGGTTATAATGCTAATGTGCCAAAAGATTTTTCTTCTTTTGGACTGGAACTGACTGCACTGAGGCGAACTAGAGCCATCGGAATACATGAAAAACACTGTGTATGCGTTTTTCATGCAGATTAAAAACACACTGGACTACATCTGGTGTGAACCAGCCTTTAGTCTATAAAGGAGAGATAAACCAATCATTAAAAACTCATAAAACATGTAAACATCATTTCAAAAGTAATTTTCAATTCTCTTAAAATCTGCAGCTTTCATCAAATAATCCTTATCCTGCCATGAAGATTCTTGTTCTGGCACTTCTTTGTTATAGGGTGACAACGCCCTGTCCCTGTCACCCAAATGTTCTTCAGGGTTGTCACCCTGTCATATGGGCTTCTGATAGACTACAAGTGCTTATTTCAGCACACATTACACAAGCATGATCCACTGTTATCACCATCAGGAAACCCACCCTCAGAAATGCTATTCAGTCATTGCTGGGGGGGGGGGAACATATGGGTACATGTAGATAGGAGGTGGTTGCAAAGGGGCTGCGAAGGATCAGCAGCACTGAGATGTAAGGCCCCTTGACACGGGTGTGCTTTTGCTACACTAAAATGCACCTTTCTAAAAGCACATGAAAATGATTCCCTATTAAATCCTATGTAACTTCTCAAATCAGTGTAACTTTTCAAAAGTGCACCAACAAAGCACTTTCCTTTGTAATTTAATGTGAATGCACCAAAAATGCATAAAAAATGCCCCCATATGTTCAAGGTTCACAGGTGCATGCTGGGAGTCAGGAATCCAGAAAATGCACCAAAAATGTATTGAAAATGCACTGAAAATGTGATATGCTTTCTTGCAAAACACATATTGCATTTTTAAGCACACCAGTGTGAAGGGGCCCTAACAAAAGGCAAAAAATAATCACTGGTAATCACCCAATAAAATCCTCAATTGTTGGATTTACTGGTCATTAAAGTCAGTTTAAAGATTCCTCTATATTAGTGGGGCCACGTTCATTGGAGGGTTCCCCCTATTCTGACCCCCCAGCAGTCGTTCTCTTTCCATCTTCCTATATCTGGTGCTTTATCAGTATGAGATATACCTACAATGTACATCAATAAGAGCTAAAGGATTAAACTGCAGAAAAAAAGGTTCCATTCAGCTCTTGGGCCCTCCTGTATTTTCACAATAAAATGGAAACTATTCAGCTTTGTGCCAACCATTCCTACTAAAACGAATCAACCAGCTGTGAATAAATTTGGAATTTTATCACCTCGGAGTAACATTTATACCGAATTACAGAAGCATGTCACTTCCTGCTAATAAAATAAAAGGTGGCTGAGACTCTCCATACCCACAATGACATTTCAAGGTGTGCAGAGAATTTTAGATAATTCTCTGCTGTACCAACCAGAGAGGACCGCGACCCACAGACCATGGGCCATGGTGGGCAGGACAGTGAATGGATAGGCTTTAGAATGGGTAGGTCATAGAGTATGC